TACTCAGATAACATAATAAAATTTGGACTCACATAACTACTGTGGTCCCCACCTCCTATCTAACARYTAACMYAAAAYATCTACTYARAAAAACATCATAAAACTAATTAATCTTCAACATATAGAACTTACACAACATGAAAATAAAAAAATGGCTCTAGAAATCTGGTCTGGTCCTCCCAAAGGTAACATGTTACTTGTTCTCAATTTAACTTCCATGATACAGTCAGTCCTAGCCCCTAGGATCCATCCCCTCCAAGAAAGAGGGGTTTATTTCTCCTTTCAAATGAAAAAATTCCTTTGATATTGCTAACAAAGTAAAAAAATAAAAAACGAGGAATGAATTTTGCAGAAGTGGATTCTGCTTGATTCCATAATTGTTCCTGGTAGAGATCACACAACCACTATTCAAACATGTAAAGCATCCGATTTCAAACTAAATGGAATCAACAATCAATGCATAAATTTCCACATTACCTTCCTCTTTTTTTCAAAACAAGCTTCAGTGTGTCCTCGAGTTGCCTTTTCTTGTGCTTCCTTGTCTTGTCTAAATTTGCTCAAATGTTCACTTCTCTTTTCAGTCCTTTTTCTTTGTTGGGCAAAATTGGTTAGGTGGATTCAACCATTTCTTTTCCTTGGGAGGGGGTTAAAAATAGTTGCGAAAGTAAGACTGCACATACCATAATATATAGGAACCTATTAGAGCCTATCAAAAGAATCAACTCCAAAGAATAACAGTAAACTCATTTCTTACAAGAGTGCACAAAGAAGCTAGAAAGTTGCAACTTATTTAAGGAAAATTAACTACTTGCATTGATAAACTGCATTTAGGACTTAAGGATCAATGAGAACTGCCAGATTAGGCTCCAGGAAAATATAATCCTGTCCAATCTAGTATCCAAATCTAATTTCATAGCATTATCTGTAGCATGATAAAAATGGCCAACCACTGGCAGTAAAGTGCTGTGATGAAAGTGCCAGCTTAAACAGAAAATTATTGGTGTTGATATCCAGTATCCAGCCTTGGGCCTTTATCTACAGGTATGTCATATTGAAACCTGCATTAGCTTCCCAGCAGTTCGACTACCTATCAACCATCTGAGAGTGAAACCTGAAGTTTGAAACAATCCTAGGTATTACCAGTTTACACCTGCCCTTTTGTCACCAGCTAGGTGCAGTTTATATTAGATGGGATGGTTGTCAAAGTGTCAATGTAGAAGGTATCGTGGACCTTTTTACATAGATCAAAAGCACAGAAGCAAAAATGTCCTAGGTATTACCATTTTACACCAGCATTTTTGTCAGCAGCTAGGTGCAGTTTATATTGGATGGCTGGTTGTCCAAGTGCCAACAAGGTATCACAGACCTTTTAAAATAGATCATAAGCACAGAACAGAAGCAATAATGTTGCAGTAGTGCGAAAGCATCAGATTTGAGGTCATCGAAAAAAATAGTTGAGTCATCAAAAATAGCTTTTTCTATTATAAAGCTTCGAATTTATAATAAGCTTATCAAAAGCCTGCACGGCCAAGTCATTCCCAGAGAGATGTCTGGACATTTAAAACCACTATGCTACACTGAGCCATTCATGAGGGACAACAAGGATATGGTCTCCTCAATCCTCAGTATATTGAACAACTTGCAGAGGGAATGCAAGGATTTGCCTGTTTCATTTGATGAAGGGAAATTACACAATGAGAAGTATTGGCATCTCCAAAATCTAAAATGTAAAGCTACAAAATGGTTGTTCAAGACTTCAAGTCTTTAAGGTAGGGTCTCACAAATTGAAGATAATACCAAAGTAATGAATAAAAATTAAAGGTTGAAGATGCAATACAAAAAAAAATGGCATGTGAATAACACACAAGTTAAGGATAGAATAGTAATTTCCTTGTATAGTTAACAAGGTTATAAGAATAAAATAAGTTTCTTATAACCTAAACAATATGATAGAAAAAGCCATTATCACAAGTCCAGTAGACTTCTACTTACAAAATATGGAATTCTATTTTTTTGGTAACAGGCTACACAACAGGGGGTAGCCCTCCCTCAAACCCCTAAACCCCCCAACCCGGGTGAAGGTGGGACTTGATCCCAAGTCTCCACTAAGTGATATTACATATTCCAAAAGAAGGTTATATAAAACCAAAAAAAAAAAAAGAAAAAAGAAATTCTTTTCAAGCAGTTACTGCAGCAAGATATACAATACATTTTTTGCTTATATAAAACCAAAAAAAATGTGAGAAGCCTCTGAATGTGGAATGGCTGATCCAACAAATATACACTACATTCTTTCCTTTTTCTCCTTAACAAAAGGTTAATTACAATACCTAAGAAAGTAAATACAATTCCAAGTATATACTCTGCTACACTCAGCAGACAAATAAGCTACACGACCCTTTATAGTAAGGGGATTTATCAAAACAAAAATTTACAAAAGAATTAATTCAAGGCCATTAAATTTACAATAGTTTGCTTGAAATTTAGTCTTTACGAGGATCAAGTTCTTTGCCTTTATGGTCACAATGAATTTGAGAGTTCCCTTTCTCTCATCCGATCAATAATTCGAGATGCATCATCCAGTCTATTTGCTCTTTCGTAAATGCTGGCAACAACAAGATGCAACTCTTTCTTATTAATGTTGGGATCAGAATCCAGCCTTCCAAACAGTGAACTGACTTCTTTAAAATCCCCTCGTGCTCCATAAAGGCTTAGCATTTGGAAATGAATTTCATCTGAGAAAACACAACCCTCATCCTGCAACTCCTTATAAACAGCATCTGCCTTATCAAAATCCCGCAACTTCCCATAAGCATTCAGTACAAGGGCAATTGTATTAGAATCTGGAAAATATCCAGCCACTCTCATTTTCTCAAACACCTCGATGGCATTTGTATGCTTTCTATTCCTTGAGAAGAGATCAATCATGCATCTAAAGACAGAGATATCCTTAACTTCCCCGGCATCATAAGCCTGACGAAAAACCCAGGTAGCCTCTTCAATCCGACCAGCTCTTGCGAGTATGGTAATAGCCGTCTCCCTAGGAATATTGTCTGGGTGCTTGAGTTCGTGGAGCAAACGCTTGGCATGTCCTATTAAACCTGCTCTCTCGTACGCCACGATCATTGTTTGGTAAAGGACCTGATCAATCTCCACTCCAGAGCTTCTTAGCTTTTGAAATAACATCGCTGCCCTGTCCAACTTCCCGACCTTTCCCCATATTGAGATAATTGTTGAGTATGTAACAGCATTCGGCTCAATTCCTCTACTCTGCATTTCTTGGATAAGGTTGGTGGCTTTCTCGTGCTCTAGGGACTTCCCGTAAATCTTAATCATTGTGTTATAAGTGACAACATTCTGCTCGATATCCTTCCTCTGCATCAAACGAAAAAGGTGAATAGCTTCACCAAAGAGCTCGGCCTCACCGTAGACCCTCAGGAGGGTATTGTAGCTTACGACATTAGGCTCAATTCCCATTTTCCTCATGCTCCAGAAAAGTCTATCAGCTTCTTTAGCCATGTCCAACTGGCCATAGACATCAATCATAATGTTGCAAGTGGTGATATCAAGCGGACACCCAACGTCATTCATCTCAGAGAATATGGACAACGCCTCAACAAGTCTCCTATTCTCCACAAATATGGTGAGAAGAGTGGAATAGCTGACGGTATCCGGAGGAACGCTGGCCAAGCGCATCTCTTGGAGGAGAAGGCGAGCTTCCCTGAAAAGCTTAGCCTTGCCAAATACATTAATCATTGAATTGAAAGCGATAAGGTCAGGGGTGATGCCAGAGCGCTTCAATCTCGAAAAGAGGGAGATGGCCTTGGAGTAGTCGTGGAGCTTGCGTGAAAGCTCGATAAGGTTGCTATACAAAACGAGGTCACCAGAAACTCGGTCTTGCTCCATCTGTTGGAGCCAAGAGAGGGCAGCGTCGAAGAGTCCCTCCTTGCCGAAATGGGTAATGAGAGTGGAGTAAGTGAAGCGGTCAGGGGAGAGCGACCTACTGCGCATTTCGTCGACCAGGCCAGTGGCAAGATCCCACTGCTTGGCGCGAAGCACATTACGGATGACAACATTGTAGGCAAAGACAGAGGGAGAATAAGCAGCCTCCTCAATCATCCAATCGAGAAGGGCAAGGGAGCGTTGCCAGTCCGACTCATGGGAGAGAAGAGAGACCATGAAGCGGAGAGAGAGCTGCCTCCCTTTGTAAGGGGACATAAGGGCATAGAGTTCCTGTTCAGTTGAGGTCTGCCTAATCGACGAGAGGAGGTCGTCCATGTCCACACTGTGATCCCAACACAATACTTGTTGTTGCTTATCACGTTGGTATTTGTAGTGTTTTTGATGAATATGACGACCAGATGAGACCATGGAAGAAGAAGAAGAAGAAGAAACATTATCTGACCTTCTCCAGACATCTTTAATCGAAGGAGAAGAAGAAGCTGTAACCGCTAAAACAAGGGGATGGCTTTTCCACTTCCTTCGCTTCTTGGAGTTATAGGGAAAGGACTGGACGTTAATGTAGTTGTGGATGGTATTGCTTCTGGTAAATGATGGAACGAAATCTGAATGTACTGTAATTGCAAGAGAGAAACTATCCATTTTCTGCAGAGTCCAGCCCACGCTCTCGTCGTTTATGCGTCCAGCCGGCCGGTAGCCGGGAGGCTTCTTCCGCTTCCAAGGTCGAATTCGGATAGGGAAAGAGTTTACTGCCTCGCGTTTCACGCTTGGATTTTCGATTTGCTATTTAGGGCTGTCAATGAGTCCGGTTCTGGTTCTTTGATTTGTCTGGACTCTGGACTATAATTACCGGCTGTCAAGTTTACCCTGACCACCTTGGAACAATCGGATCTGGACTATGATTTGTGCTGATGAAATGCGTGTGTGAGGTCGGTGTGAGACGCGTTATGTGAGTAACAGTCCGTTGCAATTTTGCATTGACATTGAAAATAAGGATTAAGGAATCGATACGATACTCGACGCACTCGACCGGGCTAACTATACAAGCACCCGGACGATCAAGTCGGCTTTGGACTTGAAGCCTCACGAAAAGAACTAGGCGTAGAGCCTTAGAAGAGAGAGAAGTGAATAAAGAAATTTTGTGTTATTAAAGCTCATAAAGAGAAGTATTTATAATAGACATTGGTAGACTCGTAGACTAAAATAACTAAGTAATTCAGACTTGTAAAACAAGTAGGAAACGTGACTTGTCGTCCGATGTCAATGCCTTCGATGCCCACCATTCGATGTCCACCATCATCCGAGGTCGGTTGGCATAAGGAGTCTGTCCTTCTAATCTTGAGCTGGCGCCGGGTGTCCCGCACTCGAGGTAATACTTCAAACCCTCCTAAAATCATTAATCCCTATGCAAAACATGCTCCTTTTAAGTGCTTCAAGTGCAATGAAGTTGGGCATAGGTCTAGTGACTGTCCCAGAAGAAAGGCAGTTAACATGGTAGAGAGGGATGAGGAAGAAGTTGGTGACGACGAAGTATATTGTGGACCCGATGGAGAGGACGAAGAAGGTACCTATGATCATGAAGAGTACACGTGCGTTGTGAGGAAGCTAATGCTATCTCAAAGAAGCAAAGATACCACACAACAACACCGGCTGTTTCGCACTAGGTGTACGGTACAGGATCAGTTATTTGAATTAATTATTGATAGCGGTAGTCAGGAAAATATTATTGGCAGGGATGTGGTACGAAAGCTGCAACTAATTCCTGAGAGACACCCGAACCCTTACAAGATTGGTTGGATCAAGGAAGTCGAGGGCGTACGCGTGGAGGAACGCTGTAAGGTTCCATTCTCTATTGGTAAATATACTAATGAGGTTTATTATGATATTGTGGATATGGATGCTTGCCATATTTTGCTTGGTAGGCCTTGGCAGTTTGATACAGATGCCAAACACCTAGGTAGAAAGAACACATACCAGGTCGAGAAAGGGGGTGTGCGCTATACACTATTGCCCATGGCAAAAAAGAACCCAACCAAGGCTTCAAAGGCAGAAGAGAGGAATTTTCTTACCATAACACACTGCCACTCTGAATTTGTAAGAGAATGTAAGGATACCCACGAGGTCCACTTACTGGTGATAAAGGGGGAAAGTATGAGTGAATCACTAGGGGAGAACAAAATTCCAGTGGAAGTGCGGAGACTACTCGACGAGTTTCATGACGTAGTTCCTGACGAGTTACCTAATGAGCTCCCACCCATGCGAGATATCCAGCATCACATTGATTTTGTTCCTGGTGCTAGCCTACCTAATCTGTCACACTACTGGATGAGCCCTAAAGAGAACGAGATCTTACGGGAGAAGGTAGAAGAATTGTTAAGAAAGGGTCATATCCAGGTCAACATGAGTCCATGTGCAGTACCAGCATTATTAACACCTAAGAAAGATGGGAGTTGGAGGGTGTGTATCGACAATAGAGCAATCAACAAAATCACTATTGGCTACAAGTTTCCCATTCCCAGGCTGGATGACATGCTTGATCAACTTGATGGGGCTATGGTCTTTTCTAAAATCGATCTCAGGAGTGGTTACCATCAGATCAGAATCCGTCCCGGAGATGAATGGAAGACAGCTTTCAAGACCAGAGATGGATTGTTCAAATGGTTAGTCATGCCTTTTGGACTAACTAACGCACCCAGCACCTTCATGAGACTGATGAATCAGGTACTATGCCATTTTCATGGGTTAGCAACTTTCTATAGGCGGTTTATCAAAGCATTGTAGCCCCTATCATTGAGTGTTTGAAAAAGGGTAAGTTTCAATGGGGAGAAGAACAAGAGCAAAGTTTTGCTCTCATCAAAGAGAAGTTGTGCACCACTCCTATCTTAGCACTGTCAAGCTTTGACAAATTATTTGAGGTTGAGTGTGATGCTAGTGGAGTCGGCATAGGAGCCGTGTTATCACAAGAAAAGAGACTAGTTGCCTTCTTTAGTGAAAAGCTATGCGAAGCTAGGAAGAAATGGTCCACTTATGATAAAGAATTTTATGCTGTCATAAGAGCATTAAAGACCTGGGAACACTATTTGATTGCCAAAGAATTTGTCCTCTACACCGATCATCAAGCTCTTAAGTATTTAAATAAGCAAAAACAGTTGAGGAGTGATCTACATGCAAGGTGGTATGCTTTTATTGATAAATTCCCATACAAAATTGTGTATAAGACTGGGCAATAGAACACAGTGGCCGATGCTTTGAGCAGGCGTGTGGCCCTCATCAAGACTCTTAGTATCAAAATTGTGGGCTTTGAATGTTTGAAGGATCTGTACGCCTAGGATGAAGACTTCAAGCAGGTTTGGGAAAAATGCATGAATCGGCAACTAGCGGATGATTTCTACGTACATGATGGCTTTCTTATGAAGGGGGACCAACTGTGCATTCCTTGCATCTCCCTCCGCGAGAAAATCATAAGGGATTTACATGGAGGCGGCTTAGCAGAACACATCGGGAGGGACAAGACGATTGGGACTGTCAAGGGGCGTTACTATTGGCCTAAATTAAGAAGAGATGTGACCACTGTCATGAGTAGGTGCTACATATGTCAGACGGCTAAGGGTCAAACCCAGAATACTGGCCTGTACATGCCTTTACCTGTTCCTACCGCGATTTGGGAAGACTTGTCTATGGATTTCGTGCTCGGCTTACCAAAGACTCCAAGAAACATGGACTCTATCTTTGTGGTGGTTGACCGGTTCTCCAAGATGGCACATTTCCTCCCATGCAAGAAGACCGTGGGTGCAACAGCGACAGCCAAACTATTTTCAGAGAGATTGTCAGTTTACATGGGGTACCTAAGACCATCACGTCGGACCGAGATACGAGGTTCCTAAGTCACTTCTGGATGACCTTGTGGAGACTATTTGACTCATCATTAAATTTCAGTAGTACAGCTCATCCGCAGACAGATGGACAAATAGAAGTGGTAAATCGAACTCTAGGTAACTTGATCCGTAGTATTTGTAGAGAGAGGCCGAAGCAGTGGGACTTTGCCATAGCACAAGCAGAGTTTGCCTACAACAACGTAGTCATAGCTCTACAAGTAGATCCCCATTTTCTATCGTTTATATGAAGGCACCTAACCATGCGTTGGACTTGGTAAAGCTACCCAGGGTACCCGGCCTTAGTACTTCAGCAGAGCAATTAGTACCCTGGGTACCCAGTCAATACACGAGGAAGTACAACAGAAACTTCAAAGGACCAATGCAAAGTATAAGCTTGCAGCTGACAGGCATCGCGGGTACCAGGTGTTTGACGTCGGTGATGAAGTCATGGTGTTCTTAAGGAAGGAACGCATACTCGTTGGGAAGCATAGCAAGTTACAGCCTCGGAAATACGGCCCATACAAGATCCTTAAGAAGATCAATGACAATGCCTACGTAGTGGACTTGCCAGATCACATGGGTATTTCCAAAACATTTAATGTTGCGGATCTTCATCGTTATTTACCGGAAGCGACACTTGCATATCCCGATCATGACTCGGGGTCGAGTTCTTTCCAAGTGGGGGAGAATGATGGAGGACCAGCTCACCAACCGACGATAGCTCACGCCTCTCACGTCTAGAGACCTTACGTGATCCAACAACCATAGGATAATGGTGACAGCTCCATGCATTGGAGGATGGTGGCTATCGGACGGTGGATATCAAAGGCAGCCTGAGGAAGATTTCGAAGATGCCTAGAAGTCCAGTTCCCAGTTGTTTTAGTTGTTTTAATTGTTTTACAATTTTAACTCTCCTAGTTATTCTACAAGTCTACCAGATGTATTATAAATAACCCTGTTCTGAGTTAATCGAAGACACACACAAGAATTTTCTTTCGCCATCTTTTCTCTCTCTACCAAGGCATACGCCTAGTCTTTACGTAAGGCTTCATGGATGAAGCCGCTCGATCGTCCGGTGCTTGTGTCATCGCTCGGTCGAGGCAGCCACGCTGCCTCTTGTTCTTCTCCCCATTGAAACTTACCCTTTTTCAAACACTCAGTGATAGGGGCTACAATGCTACTAAAGTGTTTCAAACACTCAGTGAGACGCGTTATGTAAGTAACAGTCCCTTGCAATTTTGCATTGACATTGACAATAAGGATTAAGGAATCGATACGATACTCCCGATACGGGTGTATCATATCTGTATCTATGATCATGGATACAGGACACATTATGACTAATATGTATTTTATGACTTATGCATATCGGTATGATATGTCTTTATATCGGACTGTATTGCACTGTATCGGTGGATACAATTCGATATACACTAATACGGAAGCGTATAGACAAAATTGTACATTGAGTACTTTTGGATTGTTTTTCCTCTTTAATACAAGTTAAAAAATAGTATTTCATCTACCTTAGATTATTTATATATTTTATTTTATACATAATTATATGTTAAAATGAAAACATAGTTATTATTTGAAAAAATAGTTATTATAGAAATATACTGAATAAATAAATTTTCCCAACAAAATTAATGGAAAACATAAAATTATAATTATAAAAACTAAAATGAATAATTTAAGATTTAATTTTCCCAAAAGATTTAATAAAAACTGAAAATTAAATATAATTTTACCTTAAATGATTTATTTGTTTTATTTTATAATCATGTGTAAAATAAAAACATTATATGTTAAAAATGAAAACATATTTATTATTTAAAAAAATAGTTATTATTTAAATAAAATACTAAATTAATAAATATTCCTAAAAATTAATAAAAATTGAATATTATAATTATAAAATTGAAAGAATGATAATTATTGTACAATGTTTGAATGTTCTAGAGTC